CAGTGCTGCAGGCAGGTGTTGCTAAAGCAACTTCCAGCCTACTGCTAATGACATCAAAGCCAGCTTCAGCCTATTTTACTAGTGCCATCTCCTGGCTCTTTCATGTTCTCTGAGAACCGTTCTGAGAGATGCACAACTTTTTTGTTTTAAAGCTCTGAAGGAAAGGCAGAGATGCCAGCATGTTTATCTATAGCCTGGAATAAATTCTACGATATTTTGAAGCCCCGCTAAATTGCACAGCTTACTTGTTAATTGGTTAGATTGCTCTCTTGCTGTAAATCCCACGAACACTCCTGGCTCTCTTTTGATTCCCAAGCCTTAGTCTAGCGCTGTAACCATTACTCCACATTGTGTGCCTCGGGCTCCATGTACCAGAGAAACACTGCCATGGGCAGTATGTCTGGTATAGAGTTAGGAACTATTATGCTCTTGGACAGTTACTCAAAGGATGTCCCCACCAACACGGTCACTTTCTAGTCACAAAATCAATTGTTTCCAAGTTCTAGGCTGGCACTTGACCAAGTGGAAGAGGGCAAATCTCTGGTCCAAGGAATTCACGTCCTGCCACAATACAGATTATTCCCAAGTCACTTTTTGGCTGCAATGTCTATACATGCCCTTCTCGAATAATCAAGACATAATCAAGAGATGGTCTGGACAGCTGTTTCCTCATGGCAGTTTTTCCTTCCTCTGGAAGTTTTTCAAATTCGAAGCATTTACAAGTCTTTCCTGTTTGAGTTATCTTTCTGTGCCTGGCTGGGATTAAGCCATACCAGGATGTTTCAACATGTGCAGCATTTTAGATTGTTTTTCTTGATTCTTTTATATCTGATTTTGTTTCCATCTCCTGGTGGCTGCCCAGAGCTACAGACAAAAGTAGCTCATGAACTAATTGGAGGAGGGAATAGCAACATTCTCCCACTCCATGAGCCATCTGTGAATGCAAACCACAGACACAATATTTTTGATGTGTATCTTCCAAAGCCATTGGGTATACTGGCCATGAGAGGTATGGACAGGTGGTTGTTTTGCTTGTATGCATTTCACTAAGCATCACCAGTCTGTGAAATGCATTTATTGTTATGACTGGAGGGATGGAGCTACAGTATCTGCCCCTTGTGTCTCATATCCGCTTCTTCCTTCTACTCAGTTCCTTGCCCAAGTTATCACTTTCTTGAGGAAGGTATTCAAAAGGAACAGAGATGAGAGATTTGCAACTCCATGGCATCTCAGATGAGATGAATTATTGTGACCCAACTCAGTTCATGTTCATTCCTTATTTTGGTACAAAGACTGTCATGGTTCACCTGCTGGATGAACTAGGCCAGGAAAAGGTCAGAAAACTGCAACCCTGTTAATATTGCCTGAAGCATCTGAGCAACGATAGGATAGCTGGAGCATTTGTTGGCTGGGGATAACATTGAGATAGTGGCTGTGACCACCTCCTCCTACGTCACAGAGGAGCCGCCACTTCACACTCACATACACTTATCACGCTGCCACCAACCACACACATATATCTGACTCCTCAGACAATGGTATGGATTTTAAAAATAAAAATGATTGTTTATTGATACAACATAAGAGATAGTAAATCACAGTATAAACTAAATAAGGCAATCAATATAATAAAGTATCCCCTCATACACTCTCTCTCTCAGACCTTCACTAACACAGTACCTCATAACCTGCACATGCCCTAAGTCCCTAACAAGACCCTATCCAAGTCCCTATCTAGTCCCTATCTGACTCACACATCATTCACTCCCCCTTATATACCTTAGCTCCTCCCTCTGAAGTCCCACCTCCTGTCCTGCTATAGGCAGATGAACTCCAGCCGAAAGGCAGGTGCTTTTAGGCAAATGCCCAAAACATCTGAGTAAAGATGAGAGAACTGGAACATTTTATTTATTTAACTTTTTTATTTATTTATCTTTTATTTGGAGGGTAGATATAAGATTCACAGCGTGGCCATAACCGAAACCTGGTGGGATTTGGAGAACCAGTGGGATTCCACAATCCCAGATGATAAACTCTAGAGGAGGGACAGGGAGAGGCATGTTGGAGGCGGGGTGGCCATCTTGGTCAAAGAAGGGATAGAATCCTGCAGAAATGGAGATGGACGATGGGTCTGACTCCATCATAGGATCACTGTGGGTTAAACTGCCAACCCCAAGGAGCAATGTGATTGTGATAGTGGAGGTGTGCTGTCGTCCTCCAGATCAAAAACTCGAGGGGGACAAATCAGGAAGGTGTCCAAGAGGGACAGGACTGTAATCATGGGGGACTTCAATTATCTTCACATTGACTGGGTCAATGCGTGCTCAGGTCAAGAAAGAGAAACCAGGCTTCTTGACATGCCAAATGACTGTGCCTTGGAGCAACTTGTCACGGAGCCCACCAGAGGACAGGTGACTCTGGATTTAATATTGTGTGGTACTCAGGACCTGGTTAGGGATGTGAATGTCACTGAGCCGATAGGGAAAAGCAACCATCCTGAGATCTCTTTCACCATGCATGCTGGGGTGTGTGTGTGTGTGTCAAGCAAATCTGACACAAAAACCCTTGATTTACAAAAGGCGGACTTCCCTCAGATGAGGAAACTAGTTAGAAAGATATTGAAAGGGAAGGTAAAAAGAATCCAATCTCTCCAGAGTGCATGGAGCCTGTTTAAAACAATGGCAGTAGAGGCCCAGGGAAAGTGTATAGCACAAAGGAAGAAGGGCTCAACTAAGTCCAAGAGGCTGCCAGGATGGTTAATGAGTGG